CGATCATGGCTATCAGCTTTTTGGTTATTACACGATGGCGCGCTGTGCGTGTTTCTTTCTGTCGTTTCCCTCTCGCGGGCTTCCTTCCCCGTCTGTGAACGGCAGCGCTCGCGTGCAGTCGGTCGATTGGAAGCTAGGCGACCTTGGCGGGCGGCATTTCTGCGTCCCCCCCATTCATCGCTGGCCGTGGTGCCTGGCCTCGCGCGAATGGAAGCGAGCGCCCCCGCGCGTCGTTGTGCGCTTTTTCTGGGTGGAGACGCGCCACATCGCAGCGCCGGGTTTCGGCCAGATCGCGATAGTATTTTAGAAATACATTATGTATCTATATTTCTGTATCGCGATACCATTTTTTTCAAATGTATTTTGTAATTGTGTATTGAAAGGCTTTTTCGGGTGTATTCCCGGTGTCGCGATTCTCTTAGAACCTACGTATTTCGTTAATATTTTCATGGAATCGTTGACGAAAGAAGGTGAAGACCAACTTTCATCTCGGGCGTTTTGTCTCTGAAGTACATGAGCCTCTTGTACGAAAAATGTTACGTATGTTTCCTCGGACTTCCGGTGGTCGATTGTTCGTGTAGATTAAATTGTTCCAGGCACTTTCGGCGCGCCTGACGGATAGGAAGTACAGGTTCATTGAACTTCATTTAATGGTGACGTTTTGAGGTCAATCTGAAAGGGGCGCCCGGATTGCTCAAAATTCCGGCGACTTCTCGACCTAATTTGGGAGGATACACAACTGATCTAAAAGTCCCTGTGATTATGCATACATTTTTTTTATAGGTATCTAAAAAAAAACGCACTCGAGCAATTGCGAGATAAAGAAAAACAAAAACAAGCAAACAAAAGAAAAACGGTCTTGCTTTTTTGCAACGCAAAATGCGAGATGTTAATCTTGCGGTAACTTTATTTCGAGCGAGAAGACGTCGATGTCAAAAGTCTGACTGCATCTTGCAAAAACTGCTTATTTGGTTATATATATATATATATATATATATATATATATATATATATATATATATATATATAACCTTGTACTAGCCTTGTACTAGATTATGCTTATTAAGCATTGTAGGTTGTGCCTCTTTTTTTTTCTGTCTTGTATAAATTACCGGGTAGATAAAGAGTTCTACGCAGAGTGAGAGCATCTAACATAGTGGTTTTCTTTCTAGAACCATATCTGTTTCCTTGTCTGCTTTTCTGTTCCTCCTAAAGGTATCTATTTCCAAATATTTTTCTATTTTGAAATGCATTTCTGATATGTATCGCGATACTTTTTTTATAAATGTATTTCACTATCAGTATCTTAGCTGTCCTTGCCATGTATCCCAGTATTTGTATTTCCAAATAGCTTTCAAGGTATTTCTGGCCAACCCTGCTCAGCGCTACGACATCGTTCTCTGCCTGTTGTTTTGAGCATAGGATAAAATGCGGTCAAGAAGTCCCGCGCTAAATTGTCTCAAATGAAATGGACCGCAACAGGGTGAATCCGGACAAAATAGTACAATAGAAAATGGCTCCGGGCAACGTGATCCCGAACAAAATGGTACCCAGCTAAATGATCCCGGACAAAATGGTCCCCAAAATGATAATCCCGAACAAAATAGTCAAAGAAAAAATTATCTTTGGCAGCGTTATCCCAGATAAAATAGTCCCCAACAAGGTGATCCCGAACAAAATAGTCGCAGAACAGAATGCTACCCTGCTACTTTGTCCCGGGTAAAGATGCATGTCCCCAAACTAGGTGATCCCGAGGATAGTCCCAGATAAAAGGATCTCCCGCAACGTGATCCCGGGCAAAATTGTTCCTGGTTAAATGGTCTCGACAATAGGGTCCCGCAAGAAGTGATTCCTAACAAAAAGCTCAATTAAAAATGGTCCCTGGCAGCGTGACCGCGGACAAAATGGTCCATAAATGGATGATCCCGAGCAAAATTGTCCCGGGTAAATGGTCCCCTTTAAGATTATCCGGGACCGTAAAAACTCTAACCGAAACACTCAACGAAAAAAAAAAAAAAAGATAACACTAATTTGAAACTGAGAAGTTTACCTGTATATTGTGTAGAACATAACATTACAAATTTTGTAAATTTCTAATGTGAAATGCATTTGTGTACACTAAGGTTCTTACAACTCTAACGCACAGAGCCAAACGTCCCGAGTGTTCATATAAAATTGGAAGTACCGGTTTTAGGACGTCTTTATCCTTTATTTTATCAGACTCTTCGGGCTGCATTTTGTTTTTCATCATATCGAGCTCGGCCAGACAATGCGTTGCGCGCAGCCACGCTGGCACTCCGCATGCCTTGGACGGCACGGCACGTAACTCGGAAAAACTAGACACGGAATGGTCTGTCCTGGCGACAGAACGGCATTAATACAGCGCTGCCATCTTGCACGACGTGATCGGATTTTCGGAGGCTTCTGTCGCTCGGACTGCCTCTGATAACACGGTTACATCAGTCTCCTCTCTCAGGCCACACACTTGCGTCAGGAGCGCTGAAGGAAAAAAAAATAGTTTTACCAATGATATTTTTTACTTTTTTTTTTTTTCAGTCTACGACAGATTCCTTCACGTAGTTCGCAAATGGGACGTGTTCGAGCATCGCACTACGAAAATATCCGGACTATATTACTTCCCACATAGTGATCGGAAAGCCAATAGACCTTTTGCGAAAGGAATGCTGGGAACTTCCTGTATTCGCGACTCCAGCGAAATTAACGCCATGCAGCGGTAACAGCGTGAAACTCTGAATGCAAACGACCTTTTCACAAGGGTCGTCTGCATTCGCTGCTTCGTTCTCGTAGGCAACATAACTTCACGTGCTTGTTTAGCAAAAACGTGTACCGCTGCTAAAAAAAAGAATAATAGTCGCCGCTAAGAAGAATTAAAATATTTAAGAGTTGAAGAAGGACGTGAAGACAATTAGTTAATGGTGTGCAAGTTCGTTCATCCACAAGAAAGAGAACAACGTCATCCCGCAACTTACGCTTTCGCCTGAAAGCCGGTGGGGAAAGCTGTCGATATGACGTTTAAAAATAAAGCTCGCCAGGAAAGTGGCCTCGGCCAGAAAGATACGTGAATAAATACTGATAAACCCTTAGCATTGCATATTCGAGAAAGTATTCCAGAACTATTAGGCATCTCCAACAGCGATTACGGATGTCATCACACACATTTTCAAATGCAATCACAGATGGCCGTGCAAGCCCATTTGCGGCGAATGAAGCCATATTTCGCGGTCCCATCTGGACGCATTCTACGCCGCTTAGGGTACTAAACATATGATTTGCGAGCGTTTAATTTCTTTTGGGCAGACATAATCGAAGGAGGCGGAAGATTGTTGCCGCGCTGGTACTGATCGAGGCTTCCACGACGTTGTTCGAACACGAGCTATCTAATGGCGTGCTGGCACGAGCGCCCTGCAGCCCTTGGTTGCTACCGCAAATTCTGGCACAATTGTCTGTCTGGACGTCGCTGTCCGCGCTCTATTTGTTCCGAGCATTTTTTCTTCATTTTGGATTGGTCTGTTTCCCCGGATGTGCGAGCGAAGGTCAGACGGTGCTGGGAAGAATGGCCAGAGCGCCCGGGAGAAGCTCAGCTAAAGGGTGTGGGTACGACGGACCTCGCATGTGCGCGTCGAAGCGGCAGTTGATGGATGACTGACGGACCCCTCGCCAATTCCGTCCTTTCTGAAACTGAGGCAGTGGTCGGAGCATTCGTCGTGCACTCGACGGGGGCCGAGCCCTGTTTGCTGGCGGACGAGCAACTGCTTTCTCACGATGCTTCACACTGCGCGTCAAATGACGTCTGCCGCCCATGAGCTCGAAGCGTCTACGGAAACAGTCACCCTCTGCTCATTGAGAGCAAGATGTTGGGCGATGCATACCCTCTTTATTTTTGGGGTGACGTAGATAGTGATCATATAAGAAAAGAGTTTCCGTAGATCGTTTTTGCGGTCCGATAACGATAGCTATAACGACATGACGCAAGCCGATAACGACAGCTATTGGGCAGGAGATGGAAGTGTAAGGTGAGCTTTATCGAGCTTGTTGTCCCCACAGCCCGGTGGTTACTAACGCAGAATACAAAAGAAATTGAACCTCACCTAGCACTGTTTGAGCACAAACGCTTCGAGGATCGAGCGGCCTTCGCAACGTCATCTTAGAGTTTTCGGATGAAAAAAAAAGAAGTAAAAAACCAGAAAATAACGTAAAAAAACCAGAAAATAAGGCCTGCATGACTGTTCCATCTGCTCGGCCCAATAACGATGTGACATGAGAGCAGGTGCGCCACATGGAGCGCTTGCCGTGGTGTTTCACCACAGGCGTCGCGACTAGCGACAAAGTGACACATCTGTGACGTCATCGGGCGGAAATTGAAGGCCTATTTTTGGAACGCGGTAAGCGTACCGTCAAAAACGTTCCCGTCACCTTATTTCGGAGGTCGATTTGGCCATCCGGCGTGTTCCACGAGGGCGGAGCCGTTACCCCCTGCGAGAGAGCGGTGTCTCATGTAGTCACCGCCTATGAGGCCCGAGCAACGCAGGGCGTCGCCTGGGCGTCTAATTATCGCTTCGCAGCCAATTAGGCTGAGGTATTAGCCAATGGAACGACGACGACTACTCACGAAGCACGAAGCGTTTCTCAAGCTGTCAGGGACTCTACCGCGTTTGAAACTTTTTGGCGGTCCCAAGACTCCGCCACCGTCTGCCAAACTTCCTCGCCGTTCTCCTGCCAAAGAGCAGGGACCCTGAACTCGTCGAACACAATGCTGGAGCCGAAAGTTCGCGAAGCGCGCCGATCGGGCGTCGGCGCCAAAACGCGAAGTCATCGTCGTGAATGTCCAATCGGTGCGCTCCGTCAATTTCGGCCCCAACTTTCTGTCAGACGAGTTTATGGCCCCAAGTGTCCCTGAGTGCCGTCCCGAAAGAGGCCCATTGGCGAAGAGGTCAATGTCTCTTTCCCCCTTTGTCCACTCGGCAGCGTGACGGAGGAGGATGCCCCGCGCCCTGCTGCGCGACCTGAATACCGCGCTGTCCTGCATGCTGTGCGGGGGATACCTGGTGAACGCCGCCACGCTAATCGAATGCCTCCACTCCTGTGAGTGTGCCTTCCTTTTCCTCTCTCGTGGGAGGCGCTGATGGGGACGTGTCATTCCTCTCCTTGCAGTCTGCAAGGTCTGCATCGTGCGCTACCTGGACACCAGCAAGCTGTGCCCCATCTGCGACGTGCCCGTCCACAAGTCCAGGCCGCTCAGCTGCCTCAGGTACGCGCTGTCTGTCGGGGAGACAGATAGAGTCGCGTAGAGCCCGATCGTTTCCTTTCCGCTTCCTCGCTGTAAGGCCGGTTGCACCGCTCTTGTCTGAAGCTGTGTCCATCTTTCTGCCCCCTCGACTACTTGCGACTTCTCGCCCAGGGTGGACACGACCCTGCAGGACATCGTCTACAAGGTCGTTCCGGGGCTCTACCAGAGTAAGCGATCCTATCAAGTATTTCCAGTTTTACTGGCGTCGGTCTGAAGAATGAGAGGCTTCGCGACCGGAGTGGCTTGATCGAAACTGGTCTTCCTGGGCGTGTCGCGCTAGCTCTACACCACCAGACAGTTCACATTCTTGTAACTGCTCGATTCATAGTTGCGTGTTTTGTTCCTCGTTGGGACTACTAGGGTCGGCGTAAACGTTGGTCGTCGTCTCTTTCTGCAGGAGAGATGAAGCAGCGCCGGGAGTTCTACGACCAGCACCCCGACGCAGGTATGCACCGTCGTAGCGTCGCCGGATGAACCTGAGCTGAAGCCTCTCTGCTGCGTGCTCGATGGTCTGACGGCCGTCGGCTTGATTGTGCTAGCCTTCCACGCGTCAGCAGGGAGGTTAGCTGGAATTCTGTGGATCGGATTTGCTATGCTCCACTTTAGTACGACCATACGTATGGCCATACGACCCGCATGAGTCAATAGACGATATGAAAAATTCTTCCCAGCTATTATCATCATGCCATTCGGATCCGCTATATGGGGTTGGTTTCTCACATATCTGTATTTAACTGGGTTGTCATGGTATTAGGACAGTGTATTTGTGCACTGAATGGGTTGCTGTTTAGTTTTGGTTCAAAAAAGAAAGGGGGAAGGGGTATGAAATAAAAAATAAATTTAATGAGGATGATGTCAAAACGTAGCAGTTAGTTGCTGCGTGCGAACGTGGGTGGCATGGCGTTCGGACGTCAAGTTTCTGGGAGAAATTGCCCCGTCTGAAGCAGGTCGAAAAAAATTCCGCTTCCACCATATCAATTCCGCGAACAAAACTGTCATGACTGTTATCAACTGTAATACCATTTGTAAAGATCAAATGGGCAGACGGACATGTTCCCGCCCTCTAGTTTGCACTTTTTCCGTGCCTCGGCCATCACGTGGGCCTGACGCCCCCTCTCTCCGTCCTGCTTCTGCATTGTAGCCTTCAAGGTGCCCTGCGTTGAGGACAGCGGCGTGGTGGATGTCTCTAGCAGGCTCATCTTCAGCCCCCAAGACACTGTCAGCGTGTCCCTTGAGTACTTCACCGGGTAAGTACTGGATGGGCACGACAGGACCCCACCTCCGGCGGTTTTCACCAAATGACGCTTCAATTTTGCCTTTACTTGGCCGACGTTCGTTCGGAAGTGACGCTTCGAGCATCACCGGCTGTTTGTTTGCAGGGAGTTCTTGAAGGCCCATAAACAGATTTTCATTTGAGCGCGATGCGTTCAGTGGCGGCAAGCTTTTAGCGCGGAGACCCTTTACGCGGGGCGTGTGCAGACAGTCGCGTTCACTCGCAATCGACGGAAGTCAAGAGCAAATAAGAACGCCCTCTCGTCCCTCGCGGCTCACCGATAGAAGCGAAATCCACGGCGGCAGCATTGCGGCGGCCGTCGACAGCATCGATGTCGCCGGTATCGGGACGATCCCGCTGGCTTTTTCGACTTCTGTTCAGCTCGAACCATCTCAAAAGCTGGCCAAACAGGGACACAGCAAATGCCGTGCATGCCATTTTCTGTCCCGGAAGTGGAGGCTTTTCTTTAGTTCCAGTCCGCTTCGGGACTTTCGTGTTTTGCACAGGGGCTCGCAGCGTGCTCAGGATGTTGGTCCTTACAGTCATTCACACGGTCTGCTAGCTGTCGCCGAGAGTGAAAGCCGTGCTGGTTGCGTGGTTGATGTCCTCGCCGAAAACGTGCACGCGCACCGGAACTTCTACGTTTCTTAAATAAAGTGCTCGTTTTTTTATTTTTATTTTTCGTGTGTGCACGGCATTTGCTGCGTCTTGTTCGGACAGCCCTTCAGCCTTGAAAAAAACCTCTCGTCTCCCTACCACCGCCCCCCAAGAGGAAAAACCAAGACATTGTCTTCGCGTCGCTGACGGGCACGGGCGAGCACATGACTCTTCCTTCTCTCTCTCTCGGCTTCTGATTGGTCTACTGTATCACACCACGTTGGAAAGTTGAGGCCTGGTACCATCTTCGCCGCTCTGGACGACGTCTTTTCGCCTCGTCGGTATATTGCAATGATAATTGAAAAACCAATTAATGAATCTAAGCCGTTGCCTTCGGTTTCTTTGTAGCTTGCGTCAAAATACGTTCTTGGAAGCAAAACTGAACGGCTCCGATAAGCTTCTGGTCAAGGGAATGCTCGGGACCTGGGACGTTGTATAAATGCTATTTCGCGAGATTCCTACAATTATTATCAAATAAAAAGGCCAGGGTTGTTGCGTATCGTGAACAATTTTACTTCGTACTCTCGGTATGATGACCTGAGGCACGAAGTGAAATTGGTCGCAGACTAATATACATTGTGAAGAAACACTTAGATTTCAGAAATTAAGAGGGGTAAAAAAAAAAAGGGAGGGGGTGATACAACGTATGCGCCGTTGTCCATCTCCCTTCTGCTCGGGCGTCTCTCCGTAGTGTACCCTATACTGTTTCAGTTCACTTTCCGTCCTGGAGTGGTAAGCTTCCACCAGCTCGTTCCCACGTCTGTTTTATCGCTGACCCGAGGATATTTCCGCTTCCAGTTCTTGTAGAGTTCTGTCGAAGAAGTCTATGGGTTCATGATCAAGGGTTCGTTTAGGTTATCATCGTTGGTGAGCTCTCGTCCCAGGTCGCGTCTCCTTGAGGCGGCATGCGACAGGAACGGCCGTGTCGATGCCGGAGGCTACCTGTTTATCGTTTGTGGCCTCTGAGGTGCTGGTCCTCTGCGTCATGGTTGTAGCATGACTTCTCCGGCATATGCAGCGCGACGGAGGCCGAGGAGTCGGAAGAGGACGCTGCCGACGCTGCCGCTGGCGAGGTAAGTTGTTGATGCTCACAAGCCTCGCTTCCCTCCCTCTGTCTGGACTCTTGTTGCATTCGAATGGTGGCGAAATTCCAGAAATTCCAGTTTGGAGGCTGGTTAGGTATCTACCATGCTCTCATCTAGAGAAAATCGAACATGCTGTAATTAGTTAACATCAATTAGTTTTTTTTTCGATATTGGTTTAAGTTTGCACATTTCAATATTAGATTAGAATGTGCCAAAATTGACGAAACAAGTTTTAAGTACTAAAAAAGAAACGCTATGGGTTTTTGTAGATTGAATTGGTTTCTCCCCACCTATTCTTACAAGATCGTGCGGTGATAACTGCTTATTTTAGGCAAAGTGCATGTGGGTACAGATGTACTTACTGGGTCACAAAATTTCGAAATCAAGAAACAACGTCAAAGCGCGGATGCTCCCGAAGTGAATGCTTGCACGCGGAGCGGAGTTGCTTGTTTTGCTTCGCTCCAGAGACAGTGCACCTGAACCTGTTTGCTCGAAGCGCTAACCCTGGCTAAAGTTAGCCGCAGTACCTAGGAGAGGAATTTTTTAATCACATGACTGGTTCGATAGGGATGCGGGGAAACATGGCGGTGCCCCTGTGAGTCAGCGCCGCTCGCTTTGGAACTAATATGTCGTTGTAGCTACAATATCGGGCGCGTTAGTCGGCAACGAATGGTACAGGGGGCCTTCGCTTTGCCTTACCTCACTGCTCCCAAAGCATGAGCAATGACGTAGTCGCATTTTTCTAGATTGCCTTTTGATTCTGGCCATTCCTAAGCCTAAATAAACGCGATAATTGTTGGCATGGCAACGTCTTTGGAAAGCGGGTTGGCTTGAATCAATCGGCCGGGTATTGATAGCGCGCAAAAGCATACAGCGTCCCAATAAACCTTTTTCTGAATTACCCAAGCATCGAGGAGAACGTTGGAGGTGTAATTCTATGGGTCGCGCTCGCTGGCCTTTCTCTTATAAAATATTCCACGTAAATAATCATAATAAGGCTTTGATGAACGCGCGTGCAAAACAAAATTTGTTTTAGACTTTTTGCTTTAGAACAATTACTACTGCAGACGCCAGCACGTGCAACGCGAGTAACTACACTCGTAGCATGCACCTCGGTGCTTGGGGGGACGCTTTCTGCTTTTGTCTGCTATCAATACCCGGCCGATTGAGTCAAGGCAATACACTTTCCAAAGACGTTGCCATGCCGACAATTATCGCGTTCATTTAGGCTTAGGAATGGCCAGAATCGAAAGACTATCTAAAAAATTCGGCGAGGTCATTGCTCATGCTTTGCAAGTTAAGTGAGGTAAGGCAAAGCGAAAGCCTCCTGCACCATTCGTTGCTGACTAGCGCGCCCGATATTGCAGCTACAACGACATATTAGTTCCAAAGCGAGCGGCGCTCACTCACCGGGGCACTGCCATGTTTCCCCGCATCCCTACCGAGCCCAGTCACGTGATTTCAAAATCCCTCTCCTTGGTACTGCGGCTAACTTTAGCCGCGGTTAGTGCTTCGAGCAAACGGGCCCTGGAGACAGTTGATTAAAGTAAGTGAGAACCGGCCGACTCTATTCAGGACGCAAATGTATCGATATATAGTATCTTCAGGATGCTTTTACGTATCTGTATCTCTGAATCGAGTTACATTTGAAAAATGTATCTCCGTCTCAGTAGTGACGGACATTTAGGATGTATCGCGATGCTCTACCAGGCTTATTAGCAAGAAATGACAAGCAAGCAAGCAAAGAAACAAAAGTGGTTCGAGGAAAGGTCACTCGAAAAAGTAACAGGATGAGCTTCTCCCACAAGGCACTCCACTGTTTCCACTTTAGCGGAATGAACGCTCGGAAGGATGCCAGTTGCGAGAAGAAAACTACCACTCATGAACAGTAAAGGACTCGTGGAAGGGGCTCTTTCAGGTTCCGGCGAACTAGGGTGAGCGGCCTTGAGGACAGAAATAGGCCCCGCTTTGTTGTCCGATCTGCACCGACAGACACATTCCCGCTCAGTGCGGGTCATCTTGGTCATATTCCTTTTGCCAAGCATGGCCGACAGTTGTCTGCTTCCAGTACCTACCTGGTTCACTAAAAGCAGTACTTGCTTGTTTTTTTTTTTGTTTTTTTTTTTTTTCATTTTTTAGCGGCATTTGGGATGGAAGTTGTGGACGTATGAAGAGTTCGAGGTAAAGGGAGGCGGCGTAAACTAACACAAAGAGGAGAGCATCAGCGCCATTTGCAATTTCCACGAACTGCACTCACCAGCACCCCCCGCCGTTCGAAAAAAAAAGAAGAAACTCTGTATTCTTATTTTTATTGCGGAATACTTTCTGGCCATTTTTGCGGAAGCATCTCGAAGGCATCCCGTTACATAAAAGACAGATGTGTCTCGCTATCGGTATTCTTACTTTAAAATGCATGTAGCGCAGTATTTGCCTAGCCCTCTGCTCTCTGCCTAGCCCTAAAAACAAACAATAAAAATAAACTTAAAAAAATTGCGAGTGAGGCCGTTTGGATTTCATGCCAAGCGGAAAGGCTCGCGAGGCAACTGGCGCTCTAAACAAATAGCTAACATAATGCGGTATCCGGCACTATCCAGGAAAAACAAATATCAAACGAAGCAGGCCATCTTATGCAATTTAGGAAAGACGGGGTACGGGTCTATAATAAACGCGCGGAACTTACCGTCGGCGAACGTTGTAAACGTGGAGCGCTGAGCCAAGATGACGCCGCAGGCAGTGGCACGAGAGAGGCGGTCTATTCTTGGGTCATTTGCTTTAGGGTTCTTGGCATCGGCGAGGCAGAGGAGAAGGATGCAGCGTCAGAAAATCCGCGCGCGTTTTCCTCTGTGGCGAGCAACAGCGCACATGTACGCGTACCGGCAGCTATGTGCTGCGTCAAGGCAGCGTGGCCTGTGCAGGCAACGCTACAAAGCAGAGTTGTCCCAAAATTCAACATTGAAAGAGCCCAGCTCATCGAAAATTTACGCGTTACTGAGATTCGTTATTGTTCCGCGAGCATAAAGAAATACCATTACCGTTACTTCCAAACACCAACGAACGTTGCTTTTGCGCTACCCTGGATTTCAGTATTTGGCGGCGATAAGGCGCGGGCGGTAACGAACTTCACGGAGCAATTAAATGTTTACAGAGGAATTTCATGTTTACTTTGTTTATCAAATTTGTAGAATACAGTGATGTCCCTACGGCGCGTTGGACCTTTAAAGGGACCGAAAGCGTGACAAAGGAGTAGCATAATTTGATCAACTACACCGTAAAATAGACTTTAATCGGGAGTCGTTTTGGATGAGTATGTTAGTAAGTAACTGAAAAACCTAACACGTTAACCTAGTGACGTGTTAGGTTGGGCTATTGCTAAAGTTAAAAGTAAAGGTGTTACTGCACTAACATCTTTACTCGTATATATACAGAATTCCCCGTTACATAACGCACCAACGGCTAGCGCACCGGTCGTATCACTTCTTGACTTTGTACAGCAGGTACTAGTGATCGTATATCGGGCGAATATACATATATATTCTCCTCTCGCTGCTCCTTCAAGGTCCCGCAAGGGGCGATCCTCGCTATCCAAGAGCACTAAAAACTCGAGGCGCTACACGTAGCCTATACACCTTTTCCACAAGGGCGCAGCCATCTTGAATGCCGTCACTTGTGATATGCGGTAAAACATCGTTTTGATCTATCCAAGCCGCTGGAATGTGTTTATGAAAAATGCGCGATTGACACACATTCTTGTTTTGCCTATCCTCTATATGCTCCGGTATCCCAGGTTAAAATGTTTTATTATTTTTTCGTCCCGCATACCAGGCACGAAACCCACGTGACTGAGGAAGTAGAAAACAGCAAACGCCTATAGAAAGAAGCAGAGCCCGTGGAAACTCGTTAACGCGTGCTCCTCACACATTCCACATCTGAAAAAAAAAAGAAGAAAGTGTAAACTTGTGTCGATGATTAGGATAAACCGGGGGCGCACGCGAGTGTTGTAACAGCCCGTAACCGAGCGTGAGAAATCATAAAGTCACACTCCTCGGAGATGACACAAAAGGGTCTGTGTGAGGCATGTTGTTCTTTGCATGACGCTCCTCTCGCGTAATGGTCATACAAAACTGTCCTTAGGCGTGTTCTAATCACGCATACGAATAAGCAAACGTGTGTCGAACATGCGTGAGGCGTGCCCGCGTATAATTCTGTCATTCTGTCTGCAGCCGTATCTTTTTGTATGTGAGCAGTGTGGTTTCTGCTTACGCACGCTTGATGCCCACATGCAAAGCCTCCTCTATGGACCTTTTCACCCTCCGCCGCATGGGCGCTGCCATCTTGGAATCACGTGATGCTGCCGCCATTAGGTTGCTTCAACTTGTTGCTCTGCTCTCCCGTCCGCGCCTTGGCGGATACGTTGAATTCGTGTTTTTCGTCGCGTTTCACCTTGTCCCTTGCTTACTCCGTTAAGTGTCGTCCGACACTTATACTTACCATGCAATTGCATTACAAAATTATGCGCGCAACTTCTGTAGTTAATTTTGTAACACGTTTTGAATATTTTTTTTTACTGTCGGCGTGCGGGATACGTGTGAAAAGGCTTTATAGTTGTTAGCACTTGCGCACATTGAATACATATATGACTTGAAGAGAGCCTCGAGGGTTCAAAAACCAATAACTTATGAGAACTGTGGTTTGGTTACTAATAAGGGCGGAACATTTGCAATAGGAAGCCCAACGTTATTATATATATGAGTGCGCATTGGTGTTAAGGAAGGAAACAAAAACACTCAGCGTAATTAGGCACGTGTTTTTCCTCAAAGCATGGTGTTTTGTAGTTACAACAGATCGAAAACAGTTTATTTTGATTACACTAGGGAACTTGTGGACAAGACGCGGGAACAAACGTTTAGTTTGAATTATTTTTTTTTATGCTAGAAATAACGGTACCTTAACATTAGGCGACTTGTTAGTTCGCCATATCACACCTATAACTGTTTTACGTTCTTAATCACGATCAGCACTCGCTTTATCGGTTTATTTATGAATTCCACGGAATTGTATATCGTGCTTGGTCCCATAGTTGCTTAAGTCATTTTTTTTAATATAACCATGCAGTTTCAATTAATTTATTTCAACACAAATATTTGGACTCCCCGCGTAAGAAACTGTCACAGACAGCTTGATAGTGCCTATGATTAAAAAAATGTGACGCCGAAAAGAATCCTTCTGCATGAAAATCACCCGAGTGCAGCCGGTTGTCGACGGTGAATAGGGAGTTACTTTCAGTAGCTGGCGACGTCAAAATGTGCAAAGTGCATCGTTTCAAATCAGTGAACAGCCTTCTACAAAGGTCCATTGGTTGGCGCCTGGCGTTCGACTTCAGCGAAACTTATCGGAGATCATTTCTTTTGCGCTCTTCAATTT